GGTCACCTTTCAACCTTCTCTTGCGGAGGCTGAAGAGGTCCAGGTGCCCTAGTCTCTCCTCATAGGGCTTGGCCTGCAAGCCCTTAACCATATGAGTGGCCCTTCTCTGGACCCTCTCCAGGTTATCCACATCCCTCTTGAAGTGCGGCGCCCAAAATTGCACGCAGTATTCCAACTGCGGTCTGACCAGCACCTGATAGAGGGGAATTATCACCTCCTTGGATCTGTTTGTCATGCATCTGCTGATGCATGATAAAGTGCCATTAGCTTTTCTGATGACTTCGTCACACTGACGACTCATGTTCATCTTGGAGTCCGCTAGGACTTCAAGATCGCTTTCCACTTCCGTGCCACCAAGCAGGTCATTTCCTAGGCAGTAGGTGTGCTGGAAATTTTTCCTCCCTAGGTGCAGCACTTTGCATTTCTCCTTGTTGAATTGCATTCTGTTGTTTTCTGCCCATATGTCCAGCCTGTCCAGGTCTGCTTGTAGTTGTTCCCTGCCCTCCGGTGTGTCCACTTCTTCCCACAGTTTTGTGTCATCCACAAACTTGGACAGAGTATACTTCACTCCCTCATCCAAGTCGCTGATGAAGACATTGAAGAGTATCAGTCTAAGGACCGAGCCCTGCGGGACCCCACTGCCCACACCCTTCCAGGTCGATACCGACCTATCCACTACAACTCTCTGGGTACGACCCTGTAGCCAATTTGGCACCCACCGGACTGTGCTTGCTTGTAGTTGCTTGTAGAAAAGCAAATTCTCAAGCTTTGTGTTACTGCAACCCCAAGTGCTGGATGGAGGTGCCCAGGGACAGGGAGTTTACAAGCAGCAGCCACTGTCGTCATCCACCACTCTGTATCGCCACCGTGCACTGCTTCCCCATGCCGCTGCAGTATCCCCTGGGAAGTTTGCAACCCCCTTTTAAGTTGCTTGTGACCCCCTGGCGAGGTGGGTCACAGCCCACAGTTTGAGAGCCCCAGTTTACTTTATTTTAAAAAGAATTGCTACAGTATACATGATTATTAGCAGGGGGTTTGGGTTTTCTGTTTACTGTGGGAAAACGTGGACTTTCCTTTTTAAAGGAGAAAATCACAGATTTTCCCCTTTAAAGGAGAAAAAATTGCAGATTTTCCCCTTTGAAGCAGGAAAACATGGGCTTCATGTTTTGCAAACAGCTCTGCAGGCTGGCAGAGTTCCAACCTGCAAGAGCTACTTGCAAAAGGCAGAAAACCCTCAGCCCTGTCTGAAGGAGACTGTTGGGGCCTGAGGATCTGAATCTCAGGTGGAGGTGGTAGCACGGTCTATATGTGTGTGTGATGGACTGGGGGTGACAGTGGCAGGGGAGGGGGGTGTAAGAGAGTGAGAGATCATGGTGGGGGAGGGGGGTGTAAGAGAGTGAGAGATCATGGC